GATTTCTAATCATTTTCATTATGATAATTTTGATTATAAATCAAAATCATGAAATGAACTTCATCAAATTTTCATTTTAATTGATGAAAATAAAAAACATACATGATTATGTCCGTTTCATTATGAAAAATGTCATTTTTTTCTTTTTTTTATTCCCTAGGAACAAAATTGAGATTCGAGAGAAGTGATACAGCTATAAGAATTGTTATTAAATCCTTTTTTTATAGGAAACTAGGAAAAAGGCTTCCTAATTGATATCTGCTTGCAGAACCTTTTCTTGCTTACAGTCTGCGAGAGAAGAATATTCTCGATAGTTTTGCCAAGTTCTCTTGAAGAAGAAGAATATCTTATTTGTCGCACTTTCCTTCACGGGAGAAAAAGAGAGGATCTCTTCGACAACGACGAATACAATTCCTTTTTCTTTTTCGTTCATTGTAGCAATTCCCAATATTCCAGTCAATGCCCACTGGGCACAGAATGGGGTGGTCGTTGCTGGCGGTCGTGAACAAGGTAATACCACCAATCAACTCAAAAACCCTCTCGGTCTCTTCATTGATGATGATCAAACAATATTCATTGCTGACACGTACAATCATCGTATCGTCCAATGGAAAATGGGTGATACAAATGGACAAGTGGTAGCTGGTGGCCATGGCGCAGGAAATCAATCGGACCAATTGAATCTTCCAATCGATGTATTGATCGACAAAGAGACGGATAGTCTCATTATTTGTGATCGAGAGAACCGACGAGTTGTACGATGGTCTCGTCGTCATGATACAACACAAGGAGAAGTCCTCGTCGACAACATTTATTGTTATGGATTAGCCATGGATAACCAGAGATATCTCTACATCTCTGACACCGACAAACATGAAGTAAGACGATATCAAATAGGAGACAAGAATGGAACTATCGTGGCTGGTAGCAATGGTCGAGGTGCTGATCTCAATCAACTCGCAGCTCCGACCTACATTTTTGTCGATCAACAACAGACTGTCTACGTGTCAGAGTACTACAATCATCGTGTGGTGAAATGGAATAAAGGTGCAACAGAAGGTATTGTCGTCGCTGGAGGTCAAGGTGAAGGGAAAGCACTGACACAATTGTCGTATCCTCATGGACTGTTCGTCGATACGTTGGGTACCCTCTATGTGGCAGACACAGCAAACCATCGAGTGATGCGTTGGCCTAAAGGAGCACAACAAGGCACTGTCATTCCTGATGGGAATGGTCAAGGAGCAGGAGCGAATCAGTTGAATTGGCCCAGGGGTTTATCTTTCGATCGACATGGCAATTTATATGTCGTTGAAGAGATAAATAGTCGTGTTCAACGGTTTTCTATCGAATAAACTCGTTACGATGGATTATTTTTTCTTTCCTTCCTCTCTCTTAAATAAATCACGTTGAATTGATAGAAGGAATCACTATTCTATTTATGCAAGACCAGCAACCACCCTGGTGAAGCCGTAGCGAGCGTGAAGCTCATACACGTACGGGACAGCCTCATATCATCCACATGAAATGTGTCAAAGAGTCTGGTACAAGTCTGGTCATGTGGCACGGACACCAAGATAGCTTTCAACCGAATTTTTAGGGCTTCCTCGGAAGGTCTGTATATTAAACAGGAGCCTCAAACGACCTAACTCACGCCACCTATCTCTAAAAAGGTCCTTAATACTCCTTTAGTCACCTATCTAATCATATCCCTTTCTTCTTTTCCTATTCTCGTTCTCAAAAAAATAATAGCAACTACTCAGTTATCGGTCGACGATGCGATAATATTGATAGCTAAGAAGAAAAGAAAACAAATAATTAATTAATGTTACACGATGGAAAACAGTGAGATAACTTACTCCATTATTATGTTTCTCTTCACTATTCAATACCTACAATAGAAAAAGGGTGTGGGTGTAGGTGGAGATGTAGATCTGGGAATGAGTCAAAAACAGATCGAAACCCACACCCACAGCGCATTTTGAATATTTTCTTCATAGCAAGTTACTACATATATTTCGATTTAATTCCATTTTATTGTTGCTATTCTGAAAGCTCCAACAGGTCAGATCTGGGGATCCGTTCAGCCTCGAGCTGGTCCGATTTCCTCTGTCAAACCGATTCAGAATAGACCTCTCTCGATTATTGATCAAGATCTGCATGTTCTCGACAAATAAATAATCGAGAAATAATCTAAACATAATTAATATAGAAATATATAAGTTTTGTACGTTCAATCGCGTTGTCTAAATGTAACTGTATGTCCAAAACAAGACGGTGACTGAATAGTGAGCACACAGAATGAAAGAAGTTTATATACGACACATAAGTGTGACACATTCTATTTCAGTGTGCACACCACATCCTTACCTACACTCTGCGATAGCATGCTGGTAAGAAGATAGACTGTCCTCATTCCATTTAGAAGTAGGATTGGGCATCTATAAAGGACGTCCGGTAAATTTTGCTCGAGAAAATAGAATTAAGTGAGCAACAAAAATGAAATTACGTAATTCCATATCAATCGGTTGGTTTACTCTTTAATCAGAAGCTTCATTTAATATCACTATTAAATCATAGGCATTTACAGAAATAATTCTCTCTTGATAACAGACAAACACAAAAAGACGCAAAATAACAAAAAACGTTTTAGTTTCTGACACTGATCATGGCAGACTTTTCATTCTTCAACAAATCACTGGTAGTCCATGCTTTGCTTTATTATTTTCAATATGTCAAACTGATTGCGTTAGAGGAGATATTTACTCCTGCAGCAAGTAAACACATAATGAATGAACTTAATTAACTGAAACCATATGAGCTCAGTACGTATCAGTAGCAAGGATCTTTTTAGTTGTCAGATTAAACCAAGGAAACGCGCTTCGATAACTTCAAACTTACAAAAGTGACATTTTCAGTCAACATTTAAAGGTATAAGATGAAAATTTGATAGCTGTTTTTCTCAACGTCCTTTATAGATATCCCCGTGGGGATTCAAATCCTTTCGACGATCATTCCATTTTTTGTCGCAACTGAAAACTATTCAAAGCATTCACTATCATTAACGAACTCGATTTCATCTGGGTGTTGTGGTTATGGGATACTGATGTGTTTATATTCTTTGGAATTCAACCACTAGACAATCGCACATCTACTCACATGACTCACACCCGCTCACATATCGATAGCCTGATAAATGGATTCATCAAAAATTTTATTTCGTTAACATAATGCTTTTAAAAAAACAGACATAAAAAGAAATTTAATAATAGAGGTTACAAGGCATCGGTCTACAGTGGCGAACACCAAAACCCAATATATTTTCTTGTTTCTTACTGCGTTCTTGGCATATACCTTTCTTGCTATCATATTTTAAAGTTGATATGCGTGTTAGTATAGGTATCCATGATGAAATCGATTTGAGTTTTGTTTGGAACTGAAGCAAAACATCTCAAACCAAATCAATACCATGTCTGATAGATATTAATTTCATCTACACTCATACTCTCCTCGAATATTCGACACTTTCATTTTCAGGTAGGATGGTCAGATGAAAATTGATTTTCTGTGACATTGTATAGTATTTGAACTACAAACTCCAAATATTTGCTGTAGAATTTATATATAAAGAAGAAAACTTATCATGTGTATTCGATCTTTCTTTGTGGTTCAGTTCAAGATTAGTGATCAAACTATTTGCAGTTTTGTGCATGATTCTTGGAAACTAAAGTAATATAGTATTTTACATTCATACAATTGATTCCTTGCTCCATATAAATTTTATTATCATAACAAATGCATGTCACTCAACGTCTGAGATATTCATTTTCATCTCTACTGTTGAAAACAGAATATTTTTATGTGTTTGCAAAAAATTTTTGATCGCATCTCGGAAAAAATAAATTGAGTTGACATGCTTAACATATATATTTCAAACATATTCTCTAAAATTACAGATAATTAATGTCATTTTTTATATTCTCCTATAATCAGAAAAACGTTATAGAATAAAATGCCTTGAAAATTCCAATTTTTATATAATAAAAACAGTACAAATTTTCTTTAAAAAACTTCAATTCAATAGAATAAAGTTCCATATGTTCATCATTTTTCTTAGAAACAAAGATGGCGTTAGACACTTTTAGGTATATTATATTAAATTTATTTCCTCTTCAAAAAAAATCTTTTCGTTCATTATTAAGAACTAATAGAACATATTTCATTCAATAAAGTCAACCATGGTTCAATTTCATTACATAATGTTGCTTAGCAACAATCGTCTTCCAATAAAATTACTTCATAAAGTAAACAGTTATAAACATTCTATTTTTTTATTCGAAATCCTCTAATTAATTTTTTTTGTTATTAATTGTTTTCAAGTCATCGTGACGTTTTCATTTTTATTGATGAGTCATTTCTATTCGGTACTACTGCACTTTATGTGGTCCACAGAAGTGAGCCAAACATGTGAACCAAAGTCAATAGGCTCACTTCATATAGAAGTTATAAGCCAATCAGATGAAAAGTCCATGCTTTACAACCATCCAAAATGATATTTTTCTTTTCAACGCGATAGAGACATAATAGAATAACAGGCAATGTACAACGTAAACATGAATTGTTCGCTTCTTAATTTTCTGTTTTTTTTTCAGGTGCAAATTTTGAACTAACTCAGAGAGTGTAGTATAATTCGGTAATATTCAAATATTATCGACAAGAATAATATGACTCTACTTCAAATTTATATATAATCTCTTAATTGATACTTCATTTTTTTGGTTTTCAGATATAAAAATTAATCATTGACAATGAAAAAAAGATTTAAAAAGTTATATTAGTGGCGAGATTAATTGCTGTCAAATGTATGTTGAGTGGATCTTAGAATAATTTTCAAACAACATTTATGTCGTAAGAATTCATACAGCTGCATGGTCATATATCGTGCTTATTTTGCAATATTCTCATCGTTATCAAATTTAAGTTTATTAGCGACTGTCGACCAAAAAAGCATAATATTTTACCTAGTTTTAAGTTGCCAAGAGAACTACGTTTGATTATTCTATGCTGTTAGTATAAAGAATCTTAAAAATAATTGCAAGACTTATGAAAGAAAATACATTTATCGTGTACATGAATTATCTAGAGTAAAATTTTCAATCATAATGCGTTTCTCCGTTTAAACTGAAGTTTGATATTAATGGCAGATGTTTCAGGAATAATGAATCTCTCTATATGCCAACAATACTTCGAATATTGGTGGATTTACATCCGATTTTTTTAAAAACTTTTTTTTTAAATTTTCTACAGAATACCATGTTTTCTTTTGTAATGTAAATAACATTGGCTATTGCTTTGAATGTACTATCAACAAGTAGTTGAAGATACAAAATTTTCTAAAATAACTTCTTGAGTATTGTTTTAATAGGATATTTCTGTTGTTTGGCAACGGTGAATATTTATGATTATTTTTTACCCATGGTAGACGTAGGAAATTGATTCAAGACGAAACAGTTCAAAGTTTAAATCTGATAATTTGTGTTTCTCATCAACAATTTACTAGCGGTTGAACTCACATCATTATTGTATTGATCGATGGAAATGAGTCTGTATGCTGCTCTACCGAAATGTTTAGTCTTTATTGCAGAACTTGTTTTCTTGTTTAAGTGTTGCTGAAAGAACATTGAATTCATTTTATCTAATTTTAAACTTCGAGGATAGTGTGAAAAATTTTCACGTTCATATATAAGCAAAAGCGCCCATGTGTGTTAAACTTTGCCGTATTTTTGCATTTGTTACAAGTTATAAGTTCATTCTCCAATGTTAACACTCAAGATCTTTCAGGCATGCTTATCATAATATATCGACTTCAGAGAGACGAAGTAAATTTTTTCAAACAAATAACAAAAACTACCGATATACCAAATTCTGTACTAGTTCTGCAGCAAGTAAATTTCTTGTCCTATTTTTTCATCTTGCTTATTTTGATGCATTCGAATTAAAATATTATAAGCAAAATATAATATTTAGTTTGCTTTACAAAATGATCTAAAGCTGCCTGTTTTTATTGCGAAAACTATGAGTGCTGATGAGTTTTGAATACGAAATATTGATATAATTGTGACTTCTCTAGAATTTCAAACAAAAAAAACATATCGTATTGTTTCTATTAATGTAGGTATTTTTAGTCTTATCTCTGTAAGTGCACAATCAGTCTTTTTCTTACCATAGTTTTACTTGTTGAAGTAACATTCAAGACTTTCACTATTGTTGATGCATCAACACATATGTCCACTAGATTTCCTTATATAAAAAGCGTTATAAAATCTTGATTTTAAATTTGGACTTTATAAATACGAAAGTGTTTTTTTCTTCTTCTTATACATTAATAAACTTAAAATTGAAAAAGTGAACTACTGGAAATTCCTTCTAACTGACTATCGTTGGAAATTCTGAAATATTCAGTTTCAAAAGATATTCATTCAAAGAAAGTGTCCTATACTTTGCTAGATGTAACAAATTTTCAGAATAGTAGCTTCTTTACTAGTTTTGAAATAGTCAATGATCATTGTCTGTGGTATTCATCTTTCATTCCTCGAATATTGAAAAATTCATAAAATTTTTCATAGAATCCAAAACTTCTTTTTATTTCACAATTTCTGTATTACGGTTTTGGACTTAACACATGTGAATTTGATGAACATTCTCCTATGATTCAATCAAACATTTATTTATCAAATTTTACAATGTGAAAACTTTCGATTTTTTATTTAATACTTTGTTTTTGATTTATTTGAAAGCCACTTAATTATTTTTCTGTTTTGTTTTAAAATATTGGAAACAGAAGCAGATGAAATGTTCAATTTTTCAGCTAACTAATTTCGTGAAAAATCGTAAACACTATATTTATCATTAAGTAATTGAATTTTTTCACTTAATGAAATGATGTTGAGCAGTCATTTCTCTCCTTGGTGTGCTCATCTATAACAAACAATGAATAGTGCTTGTAATGCAGCAGCCAGAAAAGATAAAGAAGGAGAGATAAAAACTGTACAGTTATTCATTTAAAGGAATTAAAAGAACAATTCAGACTGTAAAAACAATGTTCAAGTTACACCAAGGTAGTATCCACTTACGGTTTATGTATCTCTAGCAAAAGTCGCTCCTTAACACTACGAGCTTGCTTAAGTTGGAAGGTAACTACTTATGAGATACGTTTACTAATTGAAGTTTCATTTATAAGATTTTGCATTTAATTTAAGTTTTATAATATCATTTTCATCATTACTTTTATAACTGTATTCATTTAATTTAAGTTAATCTTCTGCTATTATTGTTTTTTTTGCAATCTTTATACTCATAATAAAAAATACTTATATTTTATGATACTTGGCACCACAACGGTAAAACTAAAAGTTTGTAATGTCATTCAGTGTGATTGTGTAGCGTTCCATAGAAAATCATACAGAAATAAAATGACTCTTTGTATTTTCATTTTATGTAAATTGAATTTATAATTGATTTTAAATACTACATGGTAGTGATCATAAGTTTGAAAAAATCTCCAATATTTTAATGGGGACAAACAAGGAGATAATAAATAGAACAAAAGGCAAATCAAAGAGCGCATGCTTCTAGTATCTACTACAAATTGTTTGAAAAGTTGTCAAAATCTTCTCTATGATTAAGGAATTTGTTTGCAATTAACTTAGATAAATTTGAGATTTATGAATACAATTAGACTTACTGAACTAGGTAAGGAAATAATCATTTGATTTCTTTCGAATATAAAAAGTCAAAACTGATGCCTGTGTAACTGTAACTGCATTTTTTACAAGTTTGAATCCATTCCCAATAGGAACAACGTACCAAAAATTTTCTTGTTAGAGAATAGAGGAAGAAATCAGATTGTTAATCTATCTCGAGTGTCCTTCATAAGTAAAGAGCAGAAATTTTGTGCGCATAACATAAAATTATATAATCTATTTATCTTCGAAATACGGCAGAAAACAGGTACTAGCATGATTATTGCGTGAAGTGATCTGTTGTGAAAAAACGTCATTAAAGTATACTTAAATGAAACTGCTAACTAAGTGACTTACTGTTCATATTAGAACTTCTTCCATTGTGTAGTAAGATAATTAACATAGACTAGAAAAATAGATGCATTCTTCTCTCATAATGAACATCATAAGTTGTCAATCCTGCTCATATTTTGCAAGTCAATTGCATGTTTCACTACAATTATTTTCGGTGCTGAAAATCAACAACTAAGTGCATGATAAACCTTTCGTTTGAATTTACATTTTATGTTTCAGTGTGCTAACTAGGTCGAAGAGTTGCTTACTTTGACGAATTAGGTTCAGTTTTAAATATCTGACAAATAGTACACAGATTCAAAAGTACATTTAAAAAGCCTACAATAAATTTTTATTTTATATTGCTATTTTGGATAATTTCTTATTTTTGCATACAGAAAAATCAGCTGATATGTGGCCACTCTGATGCTTAAATGCCTTGATTTTTTCATTTTATCATTCTTGTATGAAAATAAATAATTTATTTCTTTAATTAAAAATGCTTTTCTCTATCTTACCTTCATTTTATAAAGAAAGACTACGTATGTTTCAATGAATCTAGTCTGTAGAAAATGATGAAATTAGATCATACAGAGATCATAAATTGTATTTATTTGATATAGTATTTGATCTGTATTAACCTATCATAGTATATCTTCACAAATTGTCTTTTTTTCAACTTCAGATAATTTTAATTAGTGACCATGTCAAACCGAGTCAATATTCGAACTGTTACCGGAAATAAACATAGTCCATTACTACCAAGTAAATTTCAACGTGTACAAAATCGAGCTGCAGCTATCTGGGATGCATGGAATGAAGATGGACGTGGTCTCGCTTTGGAATTGGTGGCTCATCTACACAGAATTTCAGCCGAACAAATCTATTATGATATTTATGGAAATCCATCAGATGTTGATAAACGATTTGGTATTGAAGATTCGACGAAATTGGAACGGACTCTGCACGTATGTCTGAAAGAAATTGAGCAAGGAATTGATTCATCCTTAGTAGCTGTTGCTAACCATGTACCGTTTTATCTGATACATCAACTTCAAGATCCAAGGGATATCAAAACATTGGCTAATGACTTTCTTCGAAAAATGAACAACAAACTCGAAGAAGTTCAACAGAAACATCGTCAGCAGTTGTTTGAATCTATCGATCGTATGGTCAGTAAATGCATTCTCTCGTAGATTTCGTCATTCACCATTACTTTAGGTTTCTGCAAAAACAACAACTTCTACCAAATCACCACTTAAATCAATCGAGAATTATTTATCGACTCATGAACAAAATATTCCAAACCATTATTGTAAGATTTACCTATTTTCATTTGTTTCTATGTTTTCTATTGCTATTTCATAGTCATCAACAATACTGCTGACGATGATACTTTTGATTACAAAGAGTCATTTCCTTCTACCACATTATCAAACAAAATGACCACAAAAAGTGAGTTCTCTTTGTAAAACATTCTTTGGTTTTTATAAAGGTTTTTTTCTATGATGCAGGATCTAGTACTCAAATCACATTTGAAAATGCACAAAGTCATCGTGAGTCAGCTAAAATGCAGGAACTCCAAAGAGTGTCGGAACAACCGCATGTTTTTCAGTATTCCTTGGTTGGCGAAGCAGAAACAACAGATAAAATTTTTCTTACTTCATTAATAGATAAGCCGTACTTCAAACTAGGTTGTCTATAAAAATCAGCATTTTTTGACTATCATCTTGAAAAGAAAGAACGTCTCTGATGAAAGTGTTCGATGTTCCGATATGTTATGTGCTCACTTTGTTGATATCAGAATTATATTAATTATACAATGCTAAAACGAGTAAAGTGAGCTGTATTTGTTGGTATCATATTTCAATAAGGAAAAAAAATTTTTCTCTTGCTTTTTCTTCGCGAACCGAGAAACACAAAAAAAATATGTGGATGTCCGCATATATTTTGGAGTACCTATAACTTCATAGGTACATTAATCTTTTCTATTAACTTTTAGAACAAAATAATCACTCTGAATCATTAACAATTTCTACTAATGATCAACAAACAATTAATAAACATTCAATGCGACCATATCACCGAACGTCAATATCTTCAGTTTCGGATTTGATGAATTGGAGTTGTTTAAACCAACATGGTATTGGTCTTGAAAATTGTGGACGAAAAAAAAGTCAACAAAATATATGTTATTTGAATGCCATAATTCAATGTTTAGCTAATACTGCTCCATTTGCACAATGGTTACTTCGTGATGCTAATAATGATCAATGTACGTATGTTTTCCATGAAAGAAGTTGTTAAGCTTAAGTTCGAGCTGTTTTTCAATGTGAATATTATCAAACACGATGATATATATGTTAGTGAAAATAACTAGAATAAGTACTTAATTATTAGTACTAAGACAACTACTCGAATGGACAACTTATCGTAAGACAATTCCTTGTAATGACATTTAGTCGTAACACGATTAGTTGTGTATAAACAGTACGCCCCATTATGGAAAAAAAAGAATAAGATGTAAAACTAGCTTTTTTTTTCTTTCATCACGTTGGTGGAAGTAAATTTAACAAACACTAGAAGTTGCTCCTCACAGTGTCCGTCGAATCTATTCCTAGAGTTTCCTTTTGATTAGTTCCAGGTTCATACAGAAGACAACATTAGATATATACACCCTTTTTTTCTTTATCTGACCTTTGATCATGTAGTCACATAGGATTTTAATAAACTTAGTGATGTTTGTTAATATAAGAATACTTTTAATGTCAAATGAGTAGCTTAGATTCGAACCGGTTGAGTCGATTTAAATTATAGATATTCATCATATCTGAACTATGTTCAAAAATCCAGTACGAAGTCTGTCGAGTTTGCATGAAATACAGCTCAATTGTCCAAAAAACCTCGTTCTTGTACAAGTTGACATCATCAAGCGTTATAAGGAATAAAACTTGAATTATCTTCCTAATTTAGCGAGATATTTTATAGTATCGTCTTTTTTTTCTCTAAAATAGGCCAACTGAAGATCGATCATAGATTTTGTTCTGTTTGTGAATTACAATCTACTTTCACATCTATTCATATGTATGCTAATCGTAACAATTCTTCTGATCTTTTTTCAACTTTGTCACAAGCAACTGCTGAGCCTTTGGCTCGTCGAATTCATGAAATTTCTTCTGTTTTTGTCGTCGGTCGACAGGAAGATCCATCTGAACTATTTCATCATCTTCTTGCTCATATGACTGAATGTTTGTCACCCATCCATTGGAATCCAAACATTAATCATTTGTCAACAATTATTCAGGATTTATTTGGTGTACAATTACGATCATTAATAGTTTGTAGCCGGTGTCGAAATATAACATCAACTGAATGTTGGGATTCAATGTGGAGTATTTCTATCAATTCACAAGGAACTCTTTGTCAATTTCTTTCTGACTTTTGTAAACCGGAATTATTATGTGGTGAGAATGCTTATCAATGTTTACAATGTAATCAGTTAGTACCAGCAACAAAATCTTATCATTTAATTAATGCTTTACCTATTATTACTATTCATTTAAAACGATTTAACTATGATCGACGAACAAATACAACTAGCAAAATCAATGCATTCGTTTCTTATCCAGCATTGCTCGATCTAACTCCATATTTTGACAAAAAAAATCAAGATTCCAATACAGCAAATAAACAAAGCACTCCTTATATTTATGAATTATATGCTGTCGTTGTCCATCTTGGTGAAGAACCAACAAGTGGTCATATATATGCCTACATTCGATCACCTGATGCTCTTTGGTATAAGGCAAACGATAAAACTATTACACTAGTGGATATTAACCAAGTTCTTACTAATAAAGATGCATATATGCTATTCTATTCAAAAGTAACAGAAGACAAGCTTGTCTTAAATGAGATTATACTTAACTCCAACACAACATTATTATCACAAAAGTCTTTACCATTTTCAATTTTATCTCCACTCGAAATTCATGACAATAAGAAAACAACTAATCATCATGATTTAGTAAGTTTATAAATTTGATATTGTAATAAAATAGTATTTTTTCTATTTGTATTATGTTCAAAAGACTTCTGAGAAAGATACTTTCTGCATCATTGATTCTAATACACAAGTTTTAACAAAACAAAATATGATATTGCATGAACAACTTTTGATGTCTTCTGATACAGGCAAATATGATTTGATATATATACAACTTGACCATCTATCTATTGTATTTAGAAATATCACCAAATCATTCTCCTAAACATCAATTCAATTCTTCTATGCTGAATGAATCATTAGAGAACAATGTTAGTCAACAAACAACATATTCATTGAACAGTTCCATTGAAATCAGATTCGATGTAAATAATGAAAAAGAAATTAATAATGAATGTTTACGTGTTCATGAAAACTTACATCTCAATGAAACGAATAATAACAATACTGCTGGTGATGATACACTTTCATCATCAATATCTTATCAACAACATTCACAATCATCAATAATAATCAATGCTTCACCTGATAATCGTTCAAACACATCTGAAAGCCATATATCTACTAGTGAGCTGAATGTTTTTTTTTGTTTAATTTAAAATGATCTAACCTATTTTTATAAGAATTTTGCGCTCTAAAAGACTACTTGATACAAACTTATAAACATTTTGTTAACAATGCAAAGTTGAAGTTGAGATATTATAAAGAATATGTTTGAATGTCTTCCATATATATATGCTTCAGTAGAACTATACTTTCGTCATATGGTATGCTTCCTACATAGTGCTTTCTTTTACTTCGAAAAAACTGAAACTATTTTATTACATACCAAATGATTGCATTCATATTTAAAACAAAATTTGGATTGAACTCGACTCCAGTACTTAGAGGTTTTTAAAATTTATTTGCAATACAATAAAAGCTTTTTGGCATAGGATGAAAGTAAAATTATTATAGACAAGAGAATTTCAAGAGAAGTTATAAGTTTAGCTTTCACAATATGTAACGCTTTATGAAAGACAGACATAAATCTGCTGAGGTCCTTGTCAAATGCATTATTCTATATGAATTGTATTTTTGACTCCATATATATTTTGTCATTGAAAACAAAAAATAGCCATAATCGCTTTCAGAAGACAGTTGCATGTCTTGTGATCAGTCACTAGTCTTCAGAAGAATATAAAATATTGTAGTCTTACCTGATAATTTTCAGTCTTAATGGAAAAATAAATGTTTAAATTCTTGCTGTGTTGATTATGTTTTTTTTTATTCCAGGTATTCAATCAAATAGGTCCATCATCAGTTCAGATTTTGACGATTTTGTTATAGAACTTCCAACATCATGCGAATTCAAACTTCAGCCTGTTGATCGTGTTAAATTATTGAAAATACGCACTGAGAAAATCAATAAACGTCGAGCTCGACTCTTTGAAAAAATGGGTGTAACTTTAGAAGAAAAAACAATTCGTCCTAAAAAAATCTTTTTATCAAAACAAAATAGACCAATGAATAAAATGATTGACAATAGTTCTCATGATACAGGTATTTATTTGACTTGATTTCATAAGATTTTATTTTAAGAATAAATAATCTTTTTTTTTTCGACCATAATTTATTTACGTGTAAAAAGTTCGAAATCATTTATTTTGCACAAATAATTACGTTCATTGTAAATCTGATATTAATGTCATTTCTCAAGAAATATAATATTCAAGACAAGAACATGTATTGAGTGGAAGAATCGCTCAAAACGTCAATAATTTATACGTCTCTGACAAGACATAGGAAGCAATAATTACCTTATGAAGCCTATCGGATTACTTGAAAAATAATTTTGTCTTCTTATTCCAGCACCTTGAAGTCTTAAGAGTAACGATTGTAGAATTTAATAACAAGCTACATCGAATTCGTTTCATCGACAGATTTCAAATTTTATTTAAAAGTATACATTTGTACAGGAATTGTAATGTTTTCCATTTGTGCTAAATTTTGAGCAACATGTAGCAAACATTCAAAATAATATGAAATGATAATGCAACAAAAATTAATATCAAATTTTTAATACATCAATAATTCGTCTATTCTTGACATATATATATTTTTTATTTTATTTTATGTTCGTCTGTGTTATCGTAATAGGAATAAAAGCAACTGTACGACGAAGAAATTTTTTTTTCTCTTATTTCTTATTTGATTTTTGGTCATAATGAGACCATCTGCATCACTATGTGATGCTGTTGATTGAGCTATTGTGTAGGTATGATTTGCACGTTCAATATAACCTATATATTACATTTGCTTGTTCCTGTTATAATAATAAATAATAAAATAAAATAAAAAAAATATATATATCAAGAATAAATGAATTGTTGATTTATTAAAAATTTTTGTTGCATAATAGTTCCATTTAATTTTGAATGTTTGCTCTTTATTGCTAAAGTCTTAGCAAAAACTCGAAACATTACAACTCTTGAACAAATGCATATTTTGAAATAAAATTCGATGTAACCTATTGTTAAATTCTAAAACGTGAAATACTACTAACAGCAAAAAAAAAGCCTCGGGAGGCTTAGAAAATTTTTTCAAACTCCTATTGTAAAATTTTCTTGATCAAAACTCTTCATTTGAATCTAAATATCATCCTCTAAAAGTTTCATATAGGCATAATGCTCTAAAACGAAAACTCAACATACAGAACAATCCTGGTTCCACCACTTTTTTGAAAGAAAAAATATTTGTCCTTGTATTTTTTTTCAATGGTTTTGCAAAAGACTATTTGGTTGTTGTATATATCTTGTAGCTGTAGTTAAATCAACAAATGACAAAACAAAAAAATCATCAAGAGTTGACGTGGAATACTTTTATATTCTTCATCCGTATATTAAACAAATGAATCCATATTGTGGACTATGTATTCGTAATTGTACTTTCGGTGTTCAATTAGATGAATTACAGCAATTATTACGTTGTGATCTCCGATGTTCTGGACGTCCTATTTGTCCTTTCCGATGTTCAGTTATTATTCGAAATGATGGAACTGGTCATATTATTGTTAGCAACAACAATGTTCGGCACAAGCAAAATAGTAGAATATGTCGTCCTATTCGTACTCCACTTCGTTCAATAATCAAACAACAATTCAATGTTGGTGCATCAGTTTATCGCATGTACCAAAATAGATTACAAGCTCGATCAATTGAAGAACGACAAGGACGAAATTATGATGCAACTGGAAAAAGTCGAGCTATTTTGCAAAAGATCAAGTCAGAAGCTGTCACTGAATCATTACTTTCACCAGATGCTGATGATGGTTTACTTAAACTGAATGAACAATATCGAAATGAAGTTAATGCTGGTGGAAAGGTACCAGGTGTTATTCAATCAATTTCAAAATACCCATGTCAAGTTATTGTGTTCTCAGAGTCATCCATCCGTCTCTATGATGCTCTTCTCAAACATAAGAACATCGTGGTTTCATGGGATGCTACTGGTTCAATTATTAAACAAAATAATTCTTTACAGTTACTGTATTATGAATTAAGTATGACATTACCAGGTGTAGTAACTCAAGATAGCATTATTCCAATTACATTCATGATAAGCGATGCTCATGCCTTAGTGAACGTTTTACATTGGATGCAAATGTTTCGACATAGCTATTCTAAAGTAAGTGCAATACTTCAATTTTTTTGTTTCCTTTTTTTTTTCTACTGAACAATCTATTTCACGACTGATGAAACAGTTATTGAACATACATACATCAGTCAGAAGTCTGCAGGTTTGTATTTGTTTCCGTTCTTTCAGCAGTATCAAACTTGAAAGTTGAATTCAACTATTCAACTATCAATTCGAATATTCAATTATTGAATAGTTGAATAGTTGAAGTCGTAAAGATTCAACTACACAAGTTATTTCATACAATCGATCAATGGTACACGTCGCTGTGTACGCAAACACGTCAATGGGTCGTGGCTTTTTGGGAAGCTCTGCGTGCTCCCATGCCATGGCGCTGATATAAAAAGTGAGTTACACGAGTAAAGAGTTTTCCCTAAGTGGATTTTGCTTCCAGTAGGATATGCTTTCACATACCCCACTCACTTGCTCCCTGACTCTCAGTTCTTTCATCTTCTGGTTATTCTGTCACTCCCCAGATTTTCTCTGTCATTTCTCACATTTGTCTCTCACACCCCACATTCTCTCTCTACTCTCCACATTTTCTCTCTCATCCTCCCTATCAAACTTTCTCTCTCAACTCCCCCTCACATTTTCTCTCTCAACCACCCTCACATTTTCTCTCTCAAACCCCCCTCACATTTTCTCTCTCA